AATTAAAGTGAGCCCACGTTGCTGCAACTATGCAATACAGCGGTGGTGGCATTTATCGTGTATTTTGCCATAAACGCTTACGCAAAAATCAATCATGCATTTGAGTAGACCATTCGTGTGCTAATCAAGGTGTCAGTCATATGCTTTATGTATAAACAGGGTAGCTTATTCATCTTAATAAAGGGCGAATGATTCTTTGGTAGGCTTTCGTTTAGTCCACTAAATAATGCAGAAATTCACGTTATGTTGTCTGTCCTGAAATGCCGCAGTTGCAATATTACGTAGGATGAACTTACACCAGATGTGGCTGGTAATTGTTATGGTGAATTTCATTGCTGACTCACAAATATGATATAAAGGAATTCAGTGAGCTCAATACAAATAAGTGTTGTAGCTTCTGAACTACTTACCGGGAAAGAGAAAATTTTTCGCTAAATTGATTAGTAGGCAGTCTGGTTAATATATCTGCTTTAGGACAGTATCCAAAGTGGTTACAGCCAGAGTCGATCAGTTTGTTTAAATAGTCAATTTTCTAAGTTTAGATTTGTACTATCATATTCCCAGTATGCAGTCGTTAACTCTATGCATCTGTTATAAAATTTTTTGCATGCCTTAATTACCTGAATGCTGAAAAGGTGAAAACTTTGGATTGTACATGAATCACAATATTTTGACGACGATGAAAGAAAGTCTTCCTGTTTATGACGGCAAAAAATTCGTTCATTTCGAGTCCGACAAAGAAAAACAGAGTCCACACATTTGAGTGTCTCAATGCAATAATTCATCAGTTCAGATGCATTTAGTTTACTTACTCAAAGTGTTTTAACTTTTCCCAAATCGACATTTGGAAATCCCGCATTTTGTAAATCATTAATTTAATTGCTTACAAGGGTCTATAGTAATATAGTAGTATTATAATGCAAAGAAAAAGAGAACCATTTATTCCCATTGCTGCTACGCATTCGATTTCATCAAATATTGGTGGATCCAAAATAAGCCTTGAAAAAACCGTGCGAATTTAATGATAGAATTGCCCAAATGTATTAATTTATCAACCATTAGTCTTAAAGTTAAGTTAAGAGACTATCAATCCGACTATTAGTTCCAAGAATGCTAAAGCTTCACTACAAATCGAGTGCTGTCTAGAAAAGTTCCAAGTCTCGCGGTGTTTGTCTTCGAGTCGGGTGACATGGTTGCTCGAGTCGGATGGTGTGGGGTACCACAACGCAATTGCTGGTCAAAGGGGGTGTGGAGTTCGCGCCCAAACATCAGGAGAGCAGGAGAAAACTCCATAGACTGGTGGGCTGTGCATCTATAGGCAAGCAGACAATGTGGAATAAGTTGTTCCCAGATATCGTCGTTGGGTGTGGAGATGAAGACGTGTAGGGCAGATAGGAGTGATCTGTTTGTCCTATCCGTTTGGACATTTTCCATGGGGTGTTAAGGGGTTGTACGGATCCTCACACCTGCCATAGTCTCACAGGATTCCTGAATAGCCTACTCTTAAAGTTAGATCCTTGGTCGGAATGTATATAGTTCGGGATGTCGTGGCGAGACCTAATAGATGCGAGATTCTTGGTTGGGAATGGGTGCTGCTTCTACCTATTTAGAAAAGAACTCGATTATGACCTGAAGGTATCTGTTTGCCTGGAGTGATTGCGAGTAAGGGCCCATTTTGTCGAGACCCATTCTCTGGTTGACGTAGCCTGAGCTAATTGGTTGGGGTGGGGCTGTAGACTAATGTTGGGAGTCCTTAAGCTGGAAGTACGTAGGACAGGAAGAGCAGACAAGGCGGACTAAAAGTCTTAAATCCGGTAACAAGTTTGCCTTTGTCCAAGGTGATCCAACTGATTGTGGAAGCCTGTAAGAACGGCTTGTACCGTCAGCTGGGGAAAGACCAGATAAATGCTGGAGTTGTTACCATACTGGAAGTAATGAAACTTATCACAGGGAAAAAGATTGCTCCAGAATGATAAAAGTGAGTGTGATCCTTGACTGTAACCACTTGTCTCCTTCGCTAATGGTTTACACTGATTGTGGAGCTATCGGTTATAGACTTGGGCCATGTCACGGTCCTCTGCAAAGCTTCGCCTGGTTAGAGGTATTAGAATGCGCAGTGACAAAGTTGAGTTTGCCGGTATCGGATGGGCTTATTAAATTCTTTTTCAGGATCGGAAGACTAGACGATTTAAATTTTAGCTGGGATTTACTGTCAGCAAGAGCTTCCTGCTGTCGCGTTAGCTGGCCCTCCGGTTCTTTAAAATTTCATAGCCAGGTGAGGGCCTGGTGAGCGGATCGAATAAAAAAGGTATCCTTTTACGACCCAAGGCAAACGTCTTGGTGAGCGTGACGATAGCCAAGAGTTCGCGCCCAGTGGTTCTATAGTTGTGTTCCGCTTTCCCAGAGCCCGGCTCGATGATGGTCGGGCATATTCCGCGCAATCAGTTCCGCATTGGGACAGGACTAAGCCTGTTGCATGGCTGATTGCATCTGTGTATTGGATGAATGGAGGAGCATTAGGGTCAAGATTGAAGAAGGTCAAGATGGGGCTGCGATAAGTGTTTGTTTGTGTTATTTGAGGGCCTATCCGCACTCTGTCGGCATTTTTTGACCAGGTTGATCTTGTCGGAGTCTGCAAAGGGTCCGGACTTCACCACTCTGGCCTAGGAAGCAACATTTTTTGGGTATACAGTCTAGGTGATCTGGCGGTACCTCTAATTGGTTTCAGCTAGGTAGTTTAGCATATCCTTCACAGTTGAGCTCAAAACTATGAAGTAGTCTTAATAGTCAAAAATTTTCTGTTGAAGGAGGCCCTGGAGGACAATTTGCATAATTCATTGACACCGGACTACCGAGTTGGCCATGCCCATGAGGAGGGTGCAGAACTCGCAGTGACGAGAGGGTAGTGTAAAATTGTTCTTCTAACTAATAAGAGCAACCTGTTGGAAGTAGGATGGAATAATGATGCCTTGTCGAAGGAGATCATCAATGAGTTTTTCCAGGTTGGCATAATGATGAATTGGAATTTTTCGTCGATTTGAACTTTTTGGGACACGTTGCCAGTGTTAATGGAATGCTAGATAACATTTTTTTCTTCCAGTATCCTGACATGCCTAGTGAAGCACATCGGTAAACTGTTCCAAGAGATTTTGCTTGCGAATGTGACTGACCTAAGGGATGTTGAAGGGTAGAATGTCGGTTACGATATAGGCTCGATGCTGATTGCGCCAATGTCAACAGGGGAAAGAAAACACCGGTTGTGTGCTGCTGACATGACCCGTAATGCAGTAAAGGAAACACTTAGGCGTGCGTATGAATTCTTATCCTCAGAGCACGTTTTATCTGCGGTCCGGGAAGTAAGGATGGTGTGTTTTGCCTGGTCTGGGGTGGGCGAGTGTGGGGGTTAGTCTTTCGCATTGGTTGATGAGAATTCAGCGACTGAGGTGGGACCCAAAACATGCTTACGGTTCCGACATCCATCCATGCTTATCTGGTGTAGTAGTGGACGAGAAATAAAGCAAGTTAGGGTTTGGAACATTCGTAATAACCGTGACTACTAGTGAGAATCAATGCCAATAAAATGTAAAATTCGAGTGTAATTAAAACCTAGAAAATGGAAAAGACTAACTAAGGGACATGATTTTAATTAAGATCAGATATAAAATACAATCAGCTAGAGGAAACCGGACCTCGGAATGGGAGGGACAGCGCACAAGTTTTACTTCCATGCAGATATTCAAATACTGGGGAAGGATGAAGACGGTGGGATTCCAGAGAGATTTATTTGGGTTACGAATACAGAAAGGTATAACCGTAAAAGATAGATGAAAAACGAGAAGGTTAATGAACTTTTGGTTAAACCCATGGACTAATCATTGGGCAGGTATGCGGAGGTAAAAAGATGTTGCATATGTGTTGAGTGGCGTGCGTGACATTAATACATTAAGACTTTTGCTCAATGTAACCAAAAATAATCAACTTAAAAGTTATTTATGAAGTTGTTTATCTAGGTTGTGAAGGAAAATATAGTTGGATAAGGGCTGCAAAAAATTATCTATTAACTTTGTTTCCCAAATCCGAAAAGTTCAAGCACTTTTTAAGCTTATGTTTCTAATAGTAGTAAGGCCTTCTGCAATCAGCCTATTTTCTGGTAATGTACTGATTTTACCAACGCGAAATGGTAGTTCACATAATTTTACTTTAAATTCTGACAGATTACTGAGATATAATTTGGCCTTTTTGGAAGCCGTCCATATCCTTATTCGGTTGCTAGATTAGTTTTACGGTACTTACTTTTTAACGGTTTGAATTTCAACACCGTTTTACAGAGATACAAGGAAACACCATGCGTCAGTGATATCGCTAACACTTCCTTTTTAGTAAATAAGATTAAATGCCATTATTCTTAACTCTTTTTTATTTTTCTTGACAAAATACACCAACTCACTTGAGCGATTTTAGCATCGTAAATTTCAAAATTTATTTGAGATTTACATTCAAACTAATGCGCTTTGAATAACTTCGTCATGTGCACAATCGATAGTCCGCTCAGAAATGGTATACAAAAATAGCATTGATTTGCATATCATGTAGTACTATTAATGGTTGCAACAGGAATAAATATTCGATTTATAATAAATTCTCTCATGATTCTGTGTTACCTAACGACAAAACTAAAATATTTATTCATAAAGTTCTATTAACACTCATGATTTATCTTTTTAAGAACAAATATTATGTTACTGCTGATGTTAGACCACTATTTAAATGCCATTTTCAGGAATATAACAAAATGAACAGTTGTTAAACAGACCTGAGGGAAGAGTGCTACATTGCATTGTTAGTTAGCACTATAACCTTAAGTAAAACAGAAATCCTGTACTTATTTAAACATTTAATGATTAAAAATTTTATATTAATACATTGGGTTTTATGTTTTAATTTTTTAAATTAGGATTTAGAATTTTGCCAGGTGTACGCGGCGCATTTATAATCTGATGATGCGGTGTATCTGGTCGTATTTGATTGTCCTTGTTTGTGTTCTTGCCGTAGATGTTACAGCGAGCAAGAAGTGCCAAGGTTTCTCGTGTTCTTAATTGACTTTTCTTTAGTTTGTATTGAGGTGATGAACAAATTGCAAAAAGCTGTTGATGAAAATAGAAATATGGACCCTATTAAGGTGGTGGATGAAACGTGTGAAACACTAACGGGAAAGCACCGAAAGATTGTAGCTGATTATTTTTTTATAATATTAATTTTTTAGTGCTCAAATATTGGAGCTTTACCAAATTCACCAACTCGTATCGTCAACACTGTTGCTCGTCAGTTATCGTCATCTGTTCCTGCCGAAAAGATTTGCGAAAAACTAGCCAAAAACGATCCTCAAATTTGCGAAATAATGCACCGTAAGTTAATGTTTGCAAATTAAATGACCTTTTAGAATTTGTACCTAGTCATGATGCCGATTTCAAAAAAATGAGCGTGAGGGAGCTTAAACAAACACTTGCCTTCATCGGAGTTGAGTGTACAGGATGCATGGATAAAAGCGATTTTATCGAAATGGCCGAAAAAAATCGACACAAAATTCCTCGTGGTGAACTTTAAAATTTTGTACAGTACATGCTTGCACACTGTTAAATATTTTGGTTCTAAATGGCCTTTTGTACACATTAATTTGCATGAAACAGGTTTATTAATTTTTTTCTCTTCCACAATGCACTCTCTGGCGTATCGAAATTTTATTTTGATATTACTTTTTTACCTTTAAAGCACGTATTTTAGTGGTTGTGCCTGTACTTTCATGTTTGGGATATTCTCTTAATGTCGGTATTTTGGAATCTGGCAAAATCCTTATTTTCCGCTACTTAACGCACCTTTGCAAACTATGACAGTAATGTCGGCATCAGTACGGTTTACTCCACCTTAGTTAAATCCAATATTTCCGGCTTTAGCGAGGCAAAACTCCTGTAATATCAACCGGTTGAGGGTGATATTCTTGTTATTACATTCAACGGTGAGGTTAATAGGCAAAGAGGTTCAATCGTATAGAATGCTACAGCACTTTAGTAAGCCGTTAGCGGTTTCGGAATGTTTGATCACAACCAATTATTAATGTGTATATAGTGTTGGGATATGTATTTGTGTGGTCGTTTACTGGCATGAGTGGTAGTAGTCGGCTTCTTGTGTTAAGTAGACCCTATTGCTATTCCTACCTTCTTTAAACCCACAAATGCGTTGTCGATGTGTAGACCGTCTTTGACTACTTATTATGATACCAATGTTGCTCAACTTCGACAATGCATTACAAATTCCAGCAGCTCACAAAGCAATTTCAAATAGCTTACTTCATTCTTATTACTCAAATTTGTGTACTTCGGATCCAATAGAGCCCCACCAGTAGCTGTTTAAGCAATATTGTCAAAGTATGTTTGATACTTCAGAGTGATAGTGTCGTTCTCAGGGAGGATTCTACAATCTGTTGATATAACTTAACTGGATTTGCGTTGTGCCTGTGGTCAAAGAAGGCAAACAAAGCAGACCTTTTCCTATTTGTGCCAGTCACATTAGCATCTGTCAATTTAGATTTTATAACTCGGGGCCGTTCAGACAAATATAACTTGATACCATAGATAGGTCTAAATTCAAACGATAAAAAGGTTTCGTAAATTTAATAAGGGCTAAAATAGTGGTGCCAGTAAACGAACTGGTAATAGAAGGCTTGTCAATCTCTTTCAGGTAAAGTTAAAAAAATCCCGGGAAGTCCAAAAAAAATTACATGTTGCCACCTTAAGCCAAAGAATCCAGTCACTTTTACCCAAAAAGCTCATACTGAACTTACTTACTCCTAATTCCTTATTTATGCTTACATATTTTCTTAATTAACAGAAATTACCGTAATGTGGGATTGTCAAATATAAAAGTCAGGACTGCCCAAAGATGTAATTCAGGTGAAGGTTTCTGAAGAGATTTCTGTCAGGCTCAAAGAATCTATGATAAAAAGCATTTTTATGGGCGTTATTAGAGGTTTAACCTGGAGTTCAGTCTTACGAATTCAATTTTTTCCCAAGGTAACTGGGCGTTGACAGTTATTCACTTCATTATTATTCAACACCATGAATAACCCATTGCTTTGTTATTAGCTCGTGATTTTCACGAGTGCAAGAAACCTGAAAATAGGAGTAGCATCAATTTTGTATCCTTAAAATATGTTAAAATTTTATACTTTTAAATTTATACCACAAAAATTATGCTATTTACGTTTTTGACAAATAAGATCTAGCAGAAAACCATGTATTTATTTAGTTTTAATTAGATGGACCAAACGTGCATATATTTACTGAGCTGCTGCCTCGCCTTTGACAAAATTAAAGACGATCAATGATTAATTATGTCGTCTATTAATGTATCTAGAATAGCACTAGGATAACATCGACACCAAAAAACATGGCTGAGTAGTAGGTACTATGGTTAGGCGCAAGTGAACAAACCAGCTAATTGCTTAGTGATTTAGACTACTGGGGAGGCAAGACCAGCAAGTTACGAGCATGTAGAGAATTAATCGTGTTATTTCAGACGATATAAACGAATTAATCTGCTAAAGCCCAGTATAATAATAAATTTTTCACAGTGGCTTAATCTAGGCAGATGTGATATTAATTTAGCCAGATGATTAACAATCCGTCCGCATAATATCCCAGGTCAATGTCCCTGTAACCTAGTTTTATATAATACTTTCTCAAGCCGAAATCGACTTTTGAACAAATACCTCATTTGTGCTAAAATGCTAGGTTATTTTTCGAAACAAATTTCAAATACGTTTTAATATGATTTGGAAAGTGAATAGCTCTAATATATCTATTTTGCGTTTTTATATATACCATAACCCCCGACCGTTATTTTTAAATTCAAGGTTGTTTGGTACGTTAAGTCCCACAGCATTCATTTTTGATTAATTCAAAAGCGTGATATTTCGGCCGCTGCAAAACTACTAGTACCCTCGCAAGTATTCATGGGTTGTAAATTGCTCACGACATGCCTGTGTTGCAGTCAAATAACCCCGAACCTTCCTGGTAAAATCGAGTGCCATTTTCGAATTCGGGACACCAGTTGATGCTTGAGGTCAGCAACTGGACGGACGAGAGTTTTGCATACAGATTCAATTGAAGAATTCTAGAACACCCTTAGATGAGTTGATTCCTTTTGTGCCTTAAAATGGTCTGGGCGCCAAATCAGTCGACGCCAACCTACCAAAATTTGCCTTAATCAAGTCTTTTTAACGTTGTTTTCCAATTGGCATTACAATTGCTGACGTCGGCATTCTCATTACTAGATTTTTTCAAACCGTTTTAGTGCAGATTGGTGGCATTTCCGTTATTGCACAGAACATAAAATTTAATTAAGTTTCGTGACTGAATACTCACGTAGTAACTTCAAGAACACGAAGTTGTTATCGTCATGGATTTGTGTTTGTCTCCAAGTCGTATGTTTTAGGTAATTTCGCTAACGGAACACTTATCCGTACTTTAGTTCGGTAGGTTTTTTGTGACATTCTATAACTTAATTTTGCCTTGAAATATATTTAAAATTTTTAGCTTCTCTTGCAAATGTGTTCACAAAGCAGTGTCAGCTGTCGTTGGTCAAACTGTAACCTAAGCTTTACGAATGTACGCTCCTTAGAGGATCACCTTGTTTCTGCACATATTTCTTTTACTGATGATACCTCATCAGGCGGACGCGATAGGCGTTGTGGCTGGTTCGCTTGTGTTTATCCTCCTCACGACTTTCTCGAAGTTTCCGTTCCCACATTTGTGCGTCATGTTAAATATCATGCTTTCGTTGAGCGTCTGATTCAGCTTTCCACTGTTTTGCTGCCGGCTCCGATTTCTTGCTGTGTCGACACGAAGCCAGTTTCGCCTCACATTCCCTCTGATCACCAATGTTCCTGCTCATTTACAACCGACTCTCTCCTCGAACTCTTCGAACATTTTAGATACTGCTTTCAAGGTAGCGTTGATGTCCTCAATCAGTTTGGCGCATTTGCATGTCCAACGTGTTTTAGAACCTTCAGATTCTGTAGCGATCTAATGAATCACGTTGTGACCGACCCAGCGCATGAAAACGAAATAAGATTTTCCACAAGTTTTTTCTGCTTTTGGACAAGTTGTTGGAAACAATCGGAAAGTTTTACATCAATAACGGCCCTGCAGGCCCACCTGCTGCAGGACCATTTAGAGTCCACAAGTATATGCTTTTGGCAAGGATGTCCTGCACCACAACATGTTAGCCGAGCTCACTTACTTTTGCATGCCTATGCGGAACATTGTCGCAGTAACGCTGTTGGTATCATTCAACAAAGTCCTGACCTAGTTCACCAGTGCCTCTCAAACAAAGGGGATGTAACCCCGCAGTTCAAGTGTTCCAAGTCAAGGTCTGAGTGGTTCTTGGAACTTCTTCAACGCCCTGATTATGATGGCCTTCGGTGTCGTTGGGGTACTTGTTACTTGAAGTAATTGATATGTTGTTAATAGAAGTTTTATTTCCGTTTATTTGATTGATTTTATGCAGCTCTAGAACAGCAACGGTGGTTTCAACGTTAAGGTTGTCATTTCGGATCGATATATCTTCCACATATTTGTTTTTACTGTTACAAAACACCCCCCATCGTCACGAATTCTCCACTAAAGCGGTGTGAGCCGGGTGTTTTGTGAAATTAATGTTTCTACACTTCACTGATGGAATCTTGGTCGGGTTTTCTGATTTTGATGTTGCTCGACTAGCGGATGACATTGTACAAACGCATCTCGCTCAGAAGTAACCTTTCAGAACTCAGCCGTGCTATAGTATTGTTCCTAGCTTGAAAAGGCTTTCCGGAAACTTTCAAACTTCTAGTTTTGTAATTTCTCGAATAGTCACAAGATCGAAACTCAACGGTACGTTCACTACCATCGAAATCGAGCTTACTTCTAGGTTCTTTTTGATACTACAATCGTTCTCAGAGTAGTCAACATGATCAAATCTCTATTTATTGCCAAGCGTTTCTCCCAAGACCTGTAGCAAAGTTCATCTTGTTTACAATAAACCATCAGAATTTATTTATGTAGTGGAGATTTTGCTTTCGTCCAGTAATTCATGTGACTCAATAAAGTGGCAAAATCTGGTCCCTAGGTGAACCTTCTAAAGGTACAATAGATAAAAATCCAATGTTTATGATATTTTTTAAAGTTATACTTTATTGCACAATTGAAGATTCTTAAAATTTCTGGTTCATTATTGTCGATCGAATACCACAACCCATTTCGTTTGATAGGTACGAAGAGCCGTTGTCATTCGTTGAGCACGTCAAGAGTCACGTGAAAGGCAAAGATGCACGCGGCATAAGGTGTCAGTGGATGCGTCCGAAGCCCTCAGGATCTCCAAAACCATGTTCTGCCGCCCTCGTAAAAGGGGTTCGATCTCATGTCCTCGATTACCACACTGTGCCGCGTCTGCTTTGCCCGTTTTGTCTGACAGCTGCGTATGGGAGCAAATCGCAACTGCTCTACCATATCTGCAAGTGTAAGTTTCGTTTTGATGTACAGCGCCATATAGTCGTGTAGATTGAATTGTTCAATGTTTTATCAGTTGGGGGGTGACTATCTTCGTAATTACTTGCCACTTTCCGATGCTTTTTTAAAAACACGTTTAGCTACAAGTGAAAAAATTCCACCATTGGTACCATAGAAAATTCATTTAATTCATTGCCCAAATGTTTCAATTAACAAAATAAAACTACTGCAGGATATATTTTGGTTTTTATTTGTCGCCTGTCTATTTTCATAACCTAGTTAGGCGCCAGAAACCGGCACCAAAACGGAGGCCTAGGCAAAACCTTAAACGACGTGTGCATGAGATTGTACGGCCAACAAAACCTATACCAATACTTCGGAAACCTGAAGATCCTTCTTCCGATCAGAGTAAGTGCTTTTTTGACTGAATTCCGGCAAATCTCTGTACTTAGTGACTACTCGTTTGGTACATGGTAGTAAAAAGTTTTTAGGGTATTCCATAAACAAACGGCATCGCACCCCTTGATAACTTATTGTCTGAGTGTCACGAGCTCCCATTATCGGTTTTGTCGGGATAATTTAGCCTCTCGTTGTACAATTTTAGACACTCAGTGGCCTCGAGGACGCAACACCTGTCGTCAAATGTGACATTTATCCTCTAAATCCATCCCGAACTGTACACAATCGTTTTAAGAAGATATTTTTCTAAGCACCTTTTCTATATCATCGCATTCGCTTGCTTTTGCTGGGCAACTGGTTGCATTTTTTAAGTGCAAGATGCGTTATACTCCAGTGATTTCTATGGTATTTTTAAAAAAATTACGTTAAATGAACTAACGGTCCTCTTTTTGTGTGCCTTCATGTGGATACTAACATTGGGGTTTTATGAATTACTACAGTAATATTCAACACATGAACCATCAAGTAATCATTTTCAAGAACAGACATTGGTGGAGCTTTTTCTAACATCTAATGGCGAAGCATTAATCCTTAAAGCTGTTTGAAAACATTGTAATGCAAGATGCACCCGTCAAGCTGCGTTACTTTATCGTAAACGCAATAGGCTTTGCTAGTGTCATGTTTGCGGTTTTCTGTTCTTTATCATTTCAGTCGACGTTAAAGAATGTTGTTTTTCTAAACCCACATACCCTTCACCTTATAAATCAGTTATTTGATGTGCTAGGCGTGTCGCAGCACTGTCCACTATCAAACGGGTTTGTTTAAGTAATCGCTTTGTTGAGGTGCACGAAGGTATGCCGGGTTAACCTGTTCATGGTTCAGACAACTTGGAAAATTTATCTCAGCAGCGCTAATTGTCGAATTATCATTACAGCTCATAAAATTTTCCAGACAAGATTTATGTGTTATTCAAATGAAGCCGTTATTTATTTCTCAGTCTTTCCTTGCACAACCTTGTCGTAGTTGCTGAAGCTGGTCTAGTACTAGGTGAACACAAGTTGTTGAATTGATGTAAATATTTTCCCCTAACCAAAACCTTCAGGATGTCGATATTAATTGCCAGCGATTTTAACCTACCCCATTCATGATCATGGCCCTCACTTACTTGAAATAGATCGAGAATCGTAGACGGAGATTATACGTCCTTCCATGAGTTATTTTATTGTCTGACATGCAAAGTCGACTGTAGACCAGCCCTCAATTTGTGTTCGTTAATGGTTTCCTGGTCAAAGGTGTAGGCTTGTATCTCTTTGGGTTCTGTTTGACCACACCTATAAATCGCTAGTAATCGCTTTATTTACATATCTCACCAACCCATAAAGAATCAATTAGGAGTTGAAAATAAATCTGCGAAGATTAATTACTGCTGACAACTTCAAGTGATTTACATAAGACCGGGTGAATGCCACAAACATTCGTAATATTATTTTATCAAAGCAAACCTTGGATACACAAGTCAGGGTTCAAAATTCGGTTTGCTGGGCGATAAAGGAAGCTATCTGGCGTGGTCTAACTCTGTTATTGTTAATTAGGTAAACTGAATAAAAATAATATGTAACGCCGCTCTGAATAATGACTATTCATTTTGCGTCGTCTTGTATTGAATACTTTCCAAAGGCGACCGCGCCAGATTTAGACGAAATTATCGGTGATTCGGATGAGGAGAACATTGATGTCCACGCCTCACTGGCACAACACACTCAACCAACCGAGAAACTTACACTACCCCAGCTGATTCAACGTCTTCAGAAGGTAAATTTGTTATACCTGTTTTGCTTACCAATTTTTCTGAATTAGAAGTTCAACTCAGGTATAATTTAATGCCATTCAACTGATTGAGTGCCTTATGAAATCTTTAAGATTTGGCAGAACGAGAAATTGTCGCCGGAGCTTATGACGGCCCATCCTGATCTCGTCGGGCTGATCCACTCCGAACTGTCCAAGTGCGAGTCTCAGGCCAAGGCATTTCCTAAGGGTGACATCAGAGCACAGCTCATTCTCATGCAAGTAAGCAGTCGACCACCTCAAATTTCCCTTGCGTTGTCCGATTTTATTAGCACTAGTCCTAATGGTGTCCGACTACCTGAAACGTGAGTTTTACGGTTGTTACCAAAACTGCTTAAATGCACTATTCTTCAGGCGGAGCGTCTACGATTTCTTCTTTCAGACTACCTCCGAATACGAATCAGGAAGGTAATTTTAAATCGCAGGTATCTATGTATCTCAGATTGTTCAGAAGCGTACATTACCAAGCCCATATTCGTTACCAGATTGAACAGTATCCGGAGCACGTACTAATGGAGGAGAGGGCGAGACTGACGTCTGAAGACCCGCACCTAACCGCCGCAGAATTCAATTATGCCAAAAGGTATAAAGCGCTAACTTTGTCGTCATTAGTTCAGAACAGAATTGGCAGGCCTTTTAAAACAGAACTTGTTACTAGAATGGACGCTCGACTCCTAAAACCCATCAAACGTTTAATTCAGATTTATGTTGCTGTTGCACGTCTGGTTTCTTTCTTTCGGTAGCCGATCTGAAATTCTACAAAGGTTTACCAATGAATTTGAGAACACAAAATCGCCATTCGGCTACCTAAATTCCTACAACACTAAATTGGTTTAGGTAACTCTGCTTTCAAAATAGTAAAAAGTATTTGCTTGTTCCTTCCGCAGCTATACCACCCTCATAATGGATCACCTACGTACTACAGTGCTAGACCATCTCCCCGTGAACATGCGAAATGTTGATGAGAAAACTATGGGTTAGTTTCACGAGGCTATTTCATTTACTTCGGTATGAAATGTACATGTCATTGATTTCTGCTACACTTTTAGCCTTTCGTCCAAACCTGGATAGCTACGTTTTCTGTCGAGTGAATTCACGGATCGATGCTCACGAACTATCTGATGCCAATACCACCAGCGACTCGTAAGTACATTTGTAATGAACGTTTAAAGCAGAAATGGTAAATTGTATGTAGCTTTACTTGAGATGCGGAAATTTTCGCGAGGTGATAGCTTCATGCAATGCGCAGAATTACTAACACCAACCCGCTGATGGGTAATATTTACTAAATCGCATCTCTGTAGTCCTGTTGGGCATTCTCTTATTTTTTTCCAGACAAGTGGCTTTTACAATGATGCCAGGTGAAATCCATCTTCTTCCCTATCGTGTTATACGAGGTCATACGGAGTCAGGTGCCGTATCACTTCTCTAAGTTCTATATGAATTGTAACAGATTACTACATCAACACATATATATGATCATAAAATGTCTAGCTATGTTGCAACATTTTCGCTAACGCTGACGTCGATTAAAGTAGATCGAGGAAGGGGAACTCAGGGTTGCCGCGCATTCTAAAAGAGATAATCTGCTTCAGTTGCGGTTAAGTTAGAAACAAAGGTCTAGGGATGTGGTGTTAACTCACGGGTCCGCTCGAACCTGACGCTGGTGGGACCCGAGGGTGGCGATTTGTCCCATTTCCTCTTCAGTTAGCTCGAAATCGAAAACCTAGAAACAGCACCGTCGGATGTAAATACGTCTACTTTAAGTATAATTTTCAGGTTCGATGTTTGCTGGATTAGACCATGCGGTTAGACACCTAAAGGGGGATAAATGCACTCGTACCACACTAAAGAGTGGTCACAGCGTACATATCAGTATGGTACATGAATTCGACGTGACCTAACCAAGAAATTGCCAAAAGCACACAGTATACTGGATTATTTGTTGCACGACAACTAGCTCATCAAAGGGTGCTACTGTTTTGACATCAAGGCCTTAGTAGAACAAAACTTGGCTTGGCTCCTGTTTCACTACGTTAGCACATCGGACACTGGCAAGGTTGCATTGTTGTAAACAGGGTGGTGGTGTACGTAAGTGATTAATGGCAAGTGCATACCTCGAAGTTTTCTCTAATTCGTTCCGGTGTGCGGCTTTTGGGTACGACAGAAACACCGCGTTGGATTCCATGACGAATCGCGACTTGTGCCGGTGTTTTGCCATACTTCTTTGCAATCGTAGCCAGGACAGGGTCATCAATCAAACGACAGGACCTATCATTTCGAAGAGCAAATTAAAGTGGTGGGCAGATGTGAACAATAAAATTTCAAGTAGCCATTGTGGAAAATCCTTTGGGATTTGCAAATTTCAAACGTTCGGGATTTAGTACACAAGCATACAGCTGACAGGTAAAAAATGGCAGCAGGAGGACATGGCTTGTCTCGTTCATAAATACATATTGCATAAATGTAGTGCAAAACGAACATTTCCGGTGAGATTTACGACCATTGATGCAAGAAATACATAATGCTCGTGAGGGTATTACAGAATCAGAAAGAAAACCGGACCTTATATTTTTAATGACTATATTGAGCAGAAATGAGGTTGAGGGTAGAATGGTAAAACCATGAAAGCATCTTCATTCGAAGATCTCTAAGGAATCACAACTAATGTTAGAGTACCTCAATACATTCTAACCGATCTATAAATTTTGACGTTTTTATTCATAACTCCAAGTTCCCACTTCACACCAATTACTTCATTCTATGTCATAACTCCAAAATTATTTTAATATCCATTGCAAACACGCATTTCCCTACTGCGCATGTCAAAACATGTGAATATTATTATATCGATGTTAGGTCCCAGAATGCATGAAGACAATGGTTAAATGAGCAACCACTGATTGCTAAAAGCCACGAATAAGGCGCTTTTATGTTCAAAGGACAGCACTATAGTAGAACTTGGCAAAAACCGTTGTTTTTATCCAAAAATGGATCTTATTAATCCTGGATATATGAACTTACGCATCTCGATATGGAGAGCCAAGGGGAGCATAGGCGGCGGACACAATGCCATTGGCTCTAGCAAAATCAATAAGAGCTTGGTTAGGAAAATATGGGTTGCTTTCGATTTGTAGCAGGACAGGTTTGATATTTGCGCAATCAATGATTCGTTGTATCTGGAGTTCGTTAAAATTGGAGAGCCCGATATGGCGGACTAGGCCCTCTGTTACAAGAGCTTCCATTGCCTGAAAAATTCTATAATAAAGGCAAGCATTACTTTCCACGTGGTTATTATGTCAACATCGTCAAAGAGAGTATTCCCTTTCTCATCCACAGGAAGTAAATCGTCACCGGGCTTTTTAGCATTTAATATTAGCGCACATATTCAACCTACTTTGTAGGCAACGGGCCAGTGTATAAGATACAAGTCAAGGTAGGATAATTTGAGGCGTTCCAAGCTTGCACGACAGGCAGGGCCAACAAACTCAGGCCTGTGGAAGGTGTTCCAAAGCTGAAAAATATCTCAGCACAACAATTACTTTTGACGTGATGAATACATCTTCCCTATTGGTCTTCGTTTGATCCAACCATTGCTTAAGCGCATTTCCAACGGCCTCTTCATTTAGATAAAGATGAGCACAGTCGATGTGACGGTACCCAACTTCCAAAGCGGCAGTGACTGCTGGAGCAACATCTTCGACCGCCAGCTATTTGGACAAACAGAAGTGATTTTCAACAATAACAAACCTTATACGTTCCCAAGCCAACACATGGTATTTGAAACCCGGGTATTTTAAGGAGCGGAGCTGTCTTATTACGCATGATTATCTCTTTGAATGTATGCCTGGACAACAAAATACGAAACGGCCCCAAACGGAAATGTACTGGGGCATATAGGTTGCGGACATATTGGACAACGCAGGCCTCAGCCAATCATCAGTCTATTTGCGTTCAAATGTGTCCGAGGGATGTGCGCAGCCAACCAGACGCAGACACGTAACAGAAGGGGTTTATAATGGGCTGTGAAGTCATCGTTGTGAAATCGGATATACGGCATCTAACATTTCGTTTGCGATTGGTCAATATAGCCATGTCTGTTGTATTAGTCTTCTTCAGCTACGGATCGGGTATTTTACAGAAATCCAACAATTGGCTATCTGAACGGTGGCAAAGGCCCGAGAACACTTAATCATTTTATTGGCTTATTTGAGCCAATAAAAACGTGTAAGTAGAGTTATTGTGTTTAACAAAATAATATTTCTCCAAATTAAAGTGATTACTCTGCTAAGGACTACTGCAGAATGCGTGCCAAATTTGTAGACAGAGACTAAGTTTTATATCTGATTACCAAAGGCCGTAAAATCGATACATGAAATACAAAATGAGCACATTCTCACAGTTATTTGCTGTTAATATCTAGCGGAATTATATATGGGATGTAATTTTGCCCATTACTCTGCCAGACACTCAGATAAAAATGATATCCCGTGATAGAAAAAATATTCAAATAGTTAATAGATAAGAAAATATGTTGACCTTACAGTTCTACTTAGGTTATGTACCACAGAAACTGTCTGCGCATCAAGGCATTCAAAAAGTTTATTGTTTGCATTTAATTAAATTAGCTCAGATTAATATATAATTGCGAACTGAGTCTACCAGCGATTCCTGTTTTTATTCTACTCGAACTTCGCGAAGGATACGTTGCGCCCTCAATCATTTCATGCATGTTAAAAAATGACTCTGCTGCTGAGTTAACTTGAGTCCTAGTGAATACTTAGACTTACTATGCAATATCATCTATATCTGAATACACATTTCGATTTTGTATGGAGTTTTTATGCAAATTCTTATAAACTGTCCTTTCACCTATTATTAATGACACCAGCATTTTCGAAGCCGGCTCATTAGGAGTATGGATTTGGTCATTTTTTACAATTTTTCATCCACATTACCCCATTGACACTTTTATTTTAGCTAAGATTAAGTCAAGGTCAGTTATGTTACACAGGCACGTGCAGATTATCTGAGTCCAGGTATGAGAATGACTGGTACATCAGAACAGTCTTTATTATCCAATTACGTCAGGCACTATCAATTCGTGTCCATCCCGCCAGCTTCGCGTCTCATTATATTCCGCTTCTCATATCTGTCTGTTTCTATTTGGCTGCATATCCTTCTCGCATGCTATTGGAACGCAAAGAGAGATGAATGGCTGAGGCCAGTGTGGCCTAATATTTCTGCTCCCTTAAACGTAGCTACTGTGGAATACCCGAGCCCTAGTAGGTAAAAGACTGGTACAACAGTACAGGCTTTATTGACCAATCAGAAGCCAGAGCCACGGGTCAGGCGCCTTCTATCCGAGTCCACCACGCTGGCCACGCCGCTCATTATATACTGCATCTCATCCATGTCCTTCTCTGGTTGGCTGCCTTCCTTTCCCGCATGCCATTAAATCGCAGAGAGACACAGGATTGGCTGAGGCCAGGTGGTCCAACATGTCTGCGCCCTAATCCGACGCCACACCACACCACACCACACTAAACTGTAGAATACCGGAGCCCTATTTTGAAGAAGACTGGTATAACAGAACAGGTCTTACTGACCAATTACAAGCCAGAACTATGCGCCAGGCGCTGTCTATCCGAGTCCACCACACTGGCCACGCCGCTCATTGTATGCTGCTCCTCATTTGTGTCTATCTCTGGTTGGCTGCTTATCTTCCTCGCATGTAATTAGAATGCCAAAACGGAGAATTGGCTGAGGCCAGTTTGGTCCAATATGTCTGCGCCCTTATACGTCGCCACTGCGGTGGAACGGCAGATGGCGCCCAGTCATTGGTCGAAGGTAATAGGTATGAGGCATTAAACGACGCGCCGGGGACTGAGTGCCGATCCGCTTGCTAGTTTTGTGTCTCCATTTCAGTGCCGCGGAACGAACCAACGGGAGAACAGGACGGCCAGGAAAGGGATATATAAAGACCCTGTTTTCCTCCTTACGGCCAACCAGTTTGGGACCAGATTGTGACTTGTTCCAGCTTTAATTAAAGGACTTTATTTTGCCTTATCCTCTTCTTGATCATACTATGGGGCCGAAGCGTACACCATACTGGGTCTTTTATTTGAGACGGTATAAGCTATTTACGCGAGTGATTGTCTCTGTCCTATACTTAAAATGTTGGTTTTGGGGTACCGTTTGTCTGAGTACATGGATAGACCTGTAAGTAAAATGCCACATTTTGGAATAGGACCTTTTCATGTTCCTGAGCGTGACGTCGCTGCAAATTTTCCCTCTGCTGGCAAATTTCTGAAGTTTTAGGAAACTCCGATCAATAGTTACTAAGGTCCATGTTTTGGGCATAGTGTCTAGCTTGAAGTTTTCTGTGGGATCAGCATTTTATAACGCAATGTCCAACTGTAATGTTTAGTTAAGAGTGTGGGTGTTATATGTGAAACTGCTTGCACATATTACTGTTTAAATTGTAGTTGAAATAACCAGTATGTCAATATTAACAATGAAGCGTCTTCATTGTTTGAGAATCTAGTATTGGGCTTGTATTTACATTCACCTACACACCATAAAATCAAAAAAAGGAGCTCGAAGACACTATCTGTTATTGTCTAGGTGGTATTCAAGTAGACAGTACAGAATCACCTACCTGTTTGTTATTAGGTGGCGAGTTCAATTTAAGGGCATAGAGTTAATGTCATTTTAAGGTAATAGGGTAACACTGCAAGCCAGTGACTTAAAATATTTATTGACTTGCTTACAAGAAAATAAATAATTTTGAGTTAATCAGAGAGCGCCATTACATTTTCTGTTTTAATCTATCGCTACCTCTGAGTTTCTCCGTAAATTTAACTTCGCCGGAAGTAGAATCACCGACTAAGCTATTGGCCATCTCATTCCAAACATTTGCTTGCATTACATACAAAGATACTTAAGCTTAATTAAAGTATACCGCCTATTAATACCGCGACAAAATAGTCAGGCCAGTTAGGATATGAGGTAGTCGATTCCAGAGAAATAAATGCTTTTGCTTCACATGCTGAAGCCTACTTAAAACTTATGGTAGGTGAAGGAGTTTGGAGATGAAATTCATGTGAATATCGGTAAAAGAGTGTTTGATCGATTTTTAATTGTTACATTGGATTGTTAAAAGGCTATTATTCACCCGAAAAGGTAACTTTATTCACAAAGCGATTGGATCCACATGCTTACTTAAAATTTATTTAAGTCTGCTCATAGAACCGAAAACAGGCTCATTATAAACTGCAGCAGTGATGGAAACACACCGGAATATGTCATAGATCATTTTTTAGGTTATAACAGCGTTAGAGCCTTGTTTCTACTAATTTTTAGTGAACAAACACTTACCTTCTAGTAAATAATTACGTTCAGGTCTAAAAAGTAATCGGAACATGCGCAAATTGGTACTCCAGTATTGTGAAGGTCACAACGCCTTTCGTCTCCTTATGGCCGCACATCATCGAGGAAAACGGCAGATAGACAGTCGAGGCTATCACTATGAGGAGTTGCAGGGGCATCCGCGTTTTTAAAAGCCGATAATCATTTTTAATTGACTTAGAGCGAAGGCAGTGTTTAATCTAATCTAAGTTCACAAACTTTGCTGCGTTACTCCGCTTTTTTATTTATTAACATACAGTAGGCGTGTCTTTTTATGCCCACTGTCTCATGCACCGTAAGGTGTTATCTGGATTCGTCAATTACTAGTCAACATTATAATAGCCTGGGACGAGCAATTGAAGTAGACGTATTTAAAATTCTATTTTGTTCGCAAGAACTTGCGGCCTTGGGGCGAAAATATGGCAGAGGTAAGCAAAAGGCGTCGTGGTAGCAGTGTAAAAGGCACCAGATGGCATGGCATATTGCTAAAACGTCCTCTGAGCACTACTCCATATTCAGTCGTAAATTATGAACAGCGACAGTGTTGCTGATGTCTGTATTTATGTACTTTAGCCAATTATTTTTTACAGAAGTAGATGAACACTTTTAACCATAGGCAACATTGATTCTTAAGTCCAGTCCACTGTACTTAGGGAAGACATTAACGCAGCGGCTGGAAAACCGCGTCCAAACCAAGTACCGTGCATTTACTATTTGCCATCACAGTCTGCCTCGGCAGGGGCGCTAACGGTCCTGGTAGTCACGTCTGGCATAATGGGGAGCGTTTGGATACACGCTTTTTTTCAACAGGGTCTTTGGTGTTCCTACCTTTCATGTTTTCTACGCCCGCCTAGTTATGCTTCCTAAATTTTCTGTTTTGAGTGGTTTACATCCCCCCACGTTTTAAATGACTCATACGTCTGACTCTAAAACAAAACAACGCCTAGTATGTTAATAGTCACATCCTTCTCCATGTCATGAATGCATTAAATCAACATCAATTTTAGCAAAATGTGTCCTTTGTGTTAACATCAACATAACGAAATAGGAATATAAACCCACGTGCGCAAAACTGATGTTATTCTAGCGAAACGCAGAAAATCCGTCAAGATTAAAACCACCTAACATTTGTATTGAATGCAAAAACCAGGGAAAAGTTGGTATTTAATCTTTAGTTAAGATTACCAAGATAGGCAGTTGGAGTCGTAATTTGTAATTGACTTCCGAAGTTCAGCAACTTTTTTTCGGCTGGGTAGCATGCGCCAGGAAGCTTCTGGTGTTGATTAAACATAATTTTCTGGGATCTGCTCAGGATGCATTAGTTCATGTGTTTTAAACATATTCTATGATCCTGGATACTTTGGTGGTTCTTGTTCGTCAATGATAAAATAATAGCAAATTAAGGTTCTTCAAAC